CAAACAAAGCCACAGCGCTGTTTTGCGTCTCTGAGCAACATGACGGTGTTTCGTTCCTGAATGAATCAACTGTTTAAATGATTCGGTTCAGTCGCAATGACTCACTTATTAACAGTGACTTGCTGCCTCATACTGGCGGTTTTAATTTCACATTTAAAGTATTTTTTCATTTAGTAAATTATTTCAAATATCAGTATTCAGTGTCTTATGTTTAATATATCAAAACATTTATGCATTTGTAACTGCAGGTTAAATGCATTCATGTTCATGTTTCATTTACTTGGTAACAGCCCAAATGTCTTATTATTCTAATTCACTGATTAAATGTAAGAATTTGACTCAAAAGATAATGCACACTTATAGAAAAATGGCTTTATAAAGGTAAAATGCCCATAAAAGTTAAAAATCAATTTAAACTTATTGGAAAAGATTAATTTCTATCTGACCACCACACAGAATATGAAGAATATCAAAAACTTTAGGAGTCAGCTGTCCACGAAAGTCCATAAGATAGCAGCATGATGATAACACTCAATCAGTTGAATGAATGACTCAATGACTCACTCATCAAGTGACTTACCATCACTTACTGGTAGTTTAGTTGAGAAGCATGTTGAAAAGTATGCATTTTTCCCCTCAACATTTCTTATTTGTATTTTCATAAATGCATTTGAAACATTAATCTCATAACATTATTTATTGCAGTTTTTAATTTAATTATTGTTATTTGCAGTGTAAATTATTTAATCTGACTGAACTAAAAATCTCAGTGATGCAGTTATTTTGCAGGGATAGTTTGTATGGAATATTGTCTGCTGACATGAAAAGTTCACTGTATATCGTAGTAATAAATATAATTTTTTACAGCAATGATATTTTGTTTTCTTTTTAATGTATACACATTAGATATTACATATATGTATGTAATAAAATGTGTATTTCCATTACAGGTTTAGGTCTTAAATTTCATATAAGGTGGTATTAAAAAGGTCTTAAAAAGTCTTAAATTTAACTTGTTCATGTCTGTAGAAACCCTGAATAATTACCCACTCAGTTCTATAGATAAATAAAGAGAAATATCCTATACATATGGCTGTTTTCAGATTTTAAAATATGACTAAAAGGTTTTATATTTTAACCTCCGGAAATGTTGCCTGCCAGTTCATTAAACTAAACTTTAAAATGACTGTTATGGATACCTGGCTGCAATTATCAACAAGCTGATAAGATCTAAACATGCATTATCTTCATTTTGCCCTCATAGAAAAGTCACTGTGATAACTTGAACTTGTTTTCCCCTTTCTTATTAACTATCTATCAAGCTATCACGTTTACATGCAGATTGGTCGTAACCCACCGCCTTTCTTGGGTACAATAGATACCAGCATGATAACACACTCAATCAGCTGAATGAATGACTCAATACTCGCTCATTAAGTGTCTTACTGTCACTTACTGGTAGTTCAGTTGAGAAGTTTGTTGAAAAGTATGCATTTTTCCCCTCAACATTTCTTATTTGTATATTCATAAATGCATTTAAAACATTAATCTCATAACATTATTTATTGCAGTTGTAATTATTGTTATTTGCTGTATTTAATCTGTCTGGTAGCAGCCCTATAGTGTATATTGAATTTATTGATAAATTGTAATAATTTGACATGTAAGATGATGCATACATCGCAAAAGGTTAAAAATAGGCCTTTGTAAAGGTAAATAAAAATATGCAGATTTAAGTATGTAAAAGCTGATAGAACATGATGACCAAGAGACCAAAAATCTCAGTGATGCAGTTATTTTGTGGGGATATTTTGTATGGAATATTGTCTGCTGACATGAAAAGTTCACTGTATATCGTAGTAATAAATATAATTTTTTACAGCAATGATATTTTGTTTTCTTTTTAATGTATACACATTAGATATTACATATATGTATGTAATAAAATGTGTATTTCCATTACAGGTTTAGGTCTTAAATTTCATATAAGGTGGTATTAAAAAGGTCTTAAAAAGTCTTAAATTTAACTTGTTCATGTCTGTAGAAACCCTGAATTTAATCATGTGAAGTCAGACTGCAGGATGCACTGGGAGACTAAATTTAACGCTGGAAACAAAATTAAGCTTATAGATTTTTTTATCATTGCGTATGGTTCATCAGATTGAATATCTGCAAGAGGCAATTAATCTGAGCTGTTTTAAGTGAATTAATGATGTTCAAAACGATGTTCAAAACGCATTTCTGGTGACCCAAGGCTAACAGTGTAACATGGTTAATTGTAAGTGAAGCAAATGTCTTGACTTTTTTTTTTATTTCTCAGCCAATTAATACTCTGCACAAAGCACGTTGAGATTTCTAGCAGCCTGCAGCTCTATCCGTAACTGCGGCTGCTAGAATTATCGGTACCCTCAGACCTCCATTATATTGATTGTGCTATATACTATGTGATTGGCCCAGTTTTTACTCTTAACCTTGCATGCTGCTTTTCTAGGTAATCTTAAAATGCTGTATAGAGCTCATTTTGTCGGATCGATCTACAGACAGCTGAATTATTATTACCGTACTACCTTATTTTTTTAATGATTTCTAGTGATGATAAAACCTGCTATAGTCTTATTTTAGCCGTTTTGTGTAATTGAATGTTAGCTAACTTTGTGCTGGCAAATGACAACAGTTATTGCTGATGCTCCCAGTATCAAGCATAAGCTGTTAAACACTGTTTGGTCATTGTTCCATCTGAGTTTTTTTTTTTTTTTGGTCTGTTTACACATACATTAGATTGGCGGGGATCTTTTGCAGCTCACAGCAGGGCCTGGCGATATGTCAAAAATTTATTCATAATTTTGGTAATAAACCTTTGAGTATTTTTTTTCTCTATTTAGCCTACATCTAGATCAGGGGTGTCAAACTCACCTCCTGGAGGACCACAGTCCTGTAGAGTTAAGCTCCAACCTGCTCCAACACATCTACCTTTAGTTTTCATTAGTTGGTTAGTGTGTTTAAAAAAAAAAGTTGATTACAGTTACAAGATTAAATTCTTAAAGTTTAATGAATTAATTTCATTAGACACAATTTTTAATGATAAATTAAATCATAAATCACTGATTCCATACAAAAATGGAAAACAATTTTGAATTACACAATTAGCTTACTCTGTGGAGTTTACATCCGTCATGTTTTCCCTCCAACATCTCTCTGCTAAACTCTTTAAAGGCACATCTCTAAACCCCTCTGTTGTGTTCTTTGTGAAAGGCTGCTAAGTCAATTGCCCTTGTGGGTAACAGAATGAAAACATCACCATCTTGAAGCATCACCAAGACTTGTTTCCCATAATTGTTGTAAAACCAGCTTTGCTTCGCTTAATCTCGGCTATTGGGAATCTCTATTGCTTTGGATGCAACACAGGGCTCTGAGCAACAAAAAGCCCTGGTTAAAACTAAAGCAGTCATCAGAAAATATTGGCATCCATTAGGGCTGTATGATATTGAAGAAAAATGCGATATGCGATACCTTGTTAAATAATGCGATTATTCGATATGCGATACGATATTGCTTAAAGTATGTAAAATCAACAATAGCTTTTTACTTTCACTTTCAAGATTTTCGATCGCACGTGCTGTGTAAACTACAGCGGCAATAGTTACCACACATTTTACAAGATTGTCAGTGGTGCTCAGGATCTGTAAATCATTCGCCATCGTCCTCAGTCATCTCTCCTTACTCTGTTTATGTGGTAAGTGAAATCTTATGTACCCTACTGTAATGTAACCTGCTAGCAAGCAGCTAACCATGTCCCTTTAGTGGCTCGCGCTATTTTATTAGAACGCGTTACTTGCTTTCCGTGCCTTTCTGAATACAGACACCAACCCATCCCTGCACTTCACATCCCCTGCACAGCCTGTAACATAACATTTATTTCCATGATCTGCCATTTTCGCTGTTGTCCTCGCTTGTTTCTTCACAATACCTGCAGAACTTCTGATGATTTGGCTGTGCAGGTCTGGCTGGCCTAGAACATGGGCGGGTATATGCAAATGTTGGGGGCGTACATATTAGTGATCCCGACTGTAAAGTCACAATCGGTGTTATGTTCTGATTCACCTGTTTTTCAGTGGTCTTTTGCATGCACGAGATACTGTTATTCAACTATGCCAAGGTAAATACAGTTTTCCATTCTATGGCACCTTTAAAAATGAAAGTTATATAACCAATTTTTTTTCACATTCTTGGAAGAGAATGAATCACTACAACAACTGAAAGTGACCAGCTGTTTTAGCAGTACATAAAAGGTAATGTCACAAATCTGAAAATGTAATTTTAACATCAATGTGAACATACAAACAAAAAATTAATGACACTAATTTTATATCAATGTAACTTTGCTTTCCATACACTTTAAGTACTTCATATACCACAGCAAAAACTATAGCCTAAGAAAGTTCAAACATGATTAAAGGCAAGTGAACTCATTTAAAACATAACTGACTGCATTTACGAGAATGATCATCGAGACTAGGGCTGGGTATCGATTCAGATGTCCTGATTCGATTTCGATTCGCAAGCTCTCGATTCGATGCTCGATTTTTTGATTACATTCAGTGAATATAGTTTTAATACAAATGCTATTGATATTTCGGTGACATCTAGTGGAGAAGACTAATGATAAGATTCACGTTAATCAGATCTTGTTTTAAATGTGTGCTGAAATAAATCCCGTAAAAGATAGATTCGCGGCTTTTGAGAATCGATATCGAATCGACGTCATTTTAAAAAACGATCAATCGAAAAATCTTTTTTTTTTGCCCAGCCCTAATCGAGACGGGTACTATTGACAATTCTGTGTGTATGTGTCTGTTCAAACATGAGGAGATGTGAAAGACGAATCAAGTCTGTGTTCGCGCGCTGTCTGAAACGTGTCTCTGTGTGTGTGCGCACACTTTGCACATGTGCAGCAGAACAGAAGAGACGCTGTGCGAGATGCGGCTTGTGCGCGTGCTTCAGGTGTGTGTCAGGCAGCAAGACGAGACGGCAAAGTGTTTTTTTCTGCAACTTATTGCACTTAACTCTTTAACATCAAGCAATTCTCTGCTATATGCGTTGACCTAAAACGTTGACCTTTTGCTATCATTTTGATTTAAGTAGCCTATTATTAAAATGATTCAGATATCGCACGACGTTGCGATATGCATATCACGATATTTACATTTGAGATTTTTTGATAATTTCGATATATAGTGCAGCCCTAGCCTCCATAGTTTGGGTGATGCTATGGCCAATGTTATGTTTGTTTACAAATGTTACAAAGTCGTATCTGTGCATTAAAACATTGCACTTTATATTTGAATATGAAAACTCCTCAAGCTGGAGATGTAGCTGCTCTATTCTTAGTAGTAGCTGTTTCAGGAGGCCAGACATCCTCACAAAGGGGAGGCGGTCCTCTGCCTAAATAGATGGCATCTGTTAAACTGACAGAAAAAAAAGTGGTCATGTGTGTGCACTCAAATGAGACGGGGAATGTCGGTACCTCAGATCATGTGCATCTTTAATTTCCTGGTGACTGTGCAGCACACATGCACATTTTTTTTCCACATCGCTTCTTGCTGCTTAATTTGAAGCTGGAGCAACTTTGCAGTGAGTCAGAGAGAGAGGCTTGTTGCCATGCCAACGTGACACGCAAGTAAAGGAGGTCAGATGAGATGAGGCTAATAAACTCAGTTTCTAACAATTGAATTGTTGAATATTTTACCGTGTGTATGACATCAGATAGAGGGGCTTGTCACGTTGTTTTGAAGATTGATTCCGCCTGTCACTGTTCCGCCTATTTTCATTTCTTTCTAAGTAGCTTTCGCTTATTTGGAACGTTTGTGATTCTTCTCATTGCTTTAATTGCACCAGACGTTGACAAGTTTATTCTTTGAGAGAGGGAGTGTGATGTCCCCAAGTAAATGTACCCAGCAAAGGACATGTAGGGACATCTAAAATGTCATCCTGGCTCAAGCAGGAAAAATAGCAATGTTTTATATGCACAACTGCATTTTGTTGCCCAAGGCCAAAATCCGATTGCTCTGCTGTTTAGGTTAGTAGCCTTAAAAATGCACTCATACTAACTGCAGTGTTTACCAAAGCAGTTCTCTCTGTTGGAAACCCCACACGAGATGTGCACGAGTCTGTGATCTTATATAATGTGCAGTTAAGCTTGATTTTTGTCCCACTTGTTTTATTTTTTTCCCCGTTCGGCCCCAGAAGACGGTACAAATGGCTTTTAAGATGCCGTCTGTTACATATGGTTGATTTAAAAGACAGATGAAGTGCGCAGGCAAGCTACTGCAGCCTCTGATTGAGCAAAACCCATTGGCCTGAAATTGCATCAGGAGCCCCAGACCATCAACTCCGATCTTGTGAATTATTGATTCGTCCAGTTAATGAATATCACAGCTTGTGCCTCGGCATCCAGGGAGATAGATTCCAAAATCCTGTTCAGACTGCACAGCCAATAATGACTGCCCTTTAACTGTCAAACTCTTGTGAAGTTGGACATTTGGTATGTGAAATCATATCTAACTCCCTCCGCTGAGTTTTAGCGAGGACAGGTTCCGGCCTTCTCTCGAGGAGCGTCTGGAGAGCATCATAAGTGGCGCCGCCCTCATGGCCGATTCCTCCTGCACTCGTGACGACCGGCGTGAGCGCATCGTGGCTGAATGCAACTCTGTGCGACAGGCGCTGCAGGATCTGCTCTCCGAGTACATGGGCAATGTAGGTGCATGTCAAATACTGTTTTTCCTTCTCGTTTACTGCTTTTCCCCTTCCACAGTCCCACATCCCTGAATGACAATGCCAAGTACCCACCTGCTACCTGAGACAGACGCTCTCCTGCAGGGAAGGAGAGGGGAGTTTTACTTCAGGGACAGTGCACATATCACGTTCACCGGGTGGTGTTGTATAAAGACCTCCAGTCTCATCAACCAATTTGTCCTGTGCTGCCTGGCTTTTGAAGAGAGGGGTTCAGTACACACAAGCCCCCTCCTGTGATACTGATCTGTGCATTGAATTGTTTGACTGCTGTTGTTTTGAAATATTTCTCTTTGTTTGCTCACCAGTGTTGGTTTTATTTGTTTTTTCGGTCTTTCATTTAATTTGTTTTCCTTTTGCTTCTCCATTTATTATCTTGAAGTCACAGATTAATTAATTTTTTAAAAGTTTTTTAAAGAAAGTGTTGAGTAGTTTAAAGAAATATTGGTTGAAAGCAGCCATTTTACACCCCTGTGGCGTGCAGCGCGGTGGGGGATATGATATGCTTGTGGTCCGGTGGGTAAATGAAGAACTTGTAAGTTCTCTGACACATTTGGCTGTATTTGTCCCACACAGAGAGAAAATTGGCCACTTTTAGGCCAAGCTGGTGTGGAGTGCTAGAATTGATAAACAAATGCAATCATCAGTTTAAAACCCTACCTCATTTTCGCAGGCTGATTTATTCCTCCGATTTCCAACACGTTGAATGTCTTGAATGTCACATCACTCTTTTTCTCCCCCAGCACATTTCTCTACATGGCAGATTTTTGTTTTAACCAATCTTTTTTCCCCATCTTCATCTCTCATTTCCAAATGAAGTAGCCTTTCTGTTTCCAAGCAGCAAATCAGATTTGTTGTTTTTGGCTGCCATGGTACTGCATTCCATCTGTTTGTTGGAAATAACTGCAAATCTATCACTTTCTAGATGTGTAATGAGGGCTGCTCCTAAAGCTGCGTGATTAATTGAAATAAAAGTGAACTAAAAAAATCTGCCTGTTTCAGAGTGAAGCGTGGCATTATGTTTGTATGCATGAGCAGATCATTATGCACCGGTGATTGCAATGTCTCAGAACGCTTGGTAGTTTTTTAGTGATTTTTATATCTAGTAATAATTATAATTAATAATATAATAATAATAATCATTATTATTGTTATTATTTAATAGTGCTTTTGCTTTCTCTCTCTATATACATACACACACAAAGCAAAGCAATAAAAAAATTCGATTTTTTTTTTCTTCCAAATCACGCAGCCCTAGCTACACCCCTCGTAATCGGTATTGAGTTTTTCCTGCTTGATGGCCCTACTCGGTTCAAATAAGGTCTACGCCCCTAGCGCACAGTAACTTAATTTTTCTGTCACACGTTCGGGGAGGCGATGTCTCGCAGGTGTCAGTGACTATTTATGTCAGTCTTACAAAACGTCAGGAAGCAGCAGGTCCTCAGCTCTGTCTGGAAACACAGCAATGTTCTCGGCAACCTGAGCTGACGAGCTCCAGATGGCTCATTGCTGGTTCTGTGTAACTCCAGACCAGGATCGTGAGCAAGCGCCTCTGTCATTACGGTCCATTTTTAACACTGCGGTGTGAGAGCCTGAAAATGGCTGTCTGATAACATCTAGCAAGGGGTTTGGCATGGATAAGGCACAAGCATTCAATAAAAGTCAAATTACACATTCGATTTCCAGTGCCATTTCAAGTGATCCTCGTGAAGAGTGCTCATGCCTGGAATGGAAAAATCATACCAGATTGATTCCAGCAGTGATAGTAATCACTAATATGCAGCTATCTGTGTAATAAGCTTGCCATGTCATCCAAAATTAGCCGTGCTACCGTGACTGCATGAGAAATGCTAATATAATTGGACAGGATCTTTTATAGAAACCACAGCTTATGTATAGACCTTTTTTTATGTCCCTGCACAGATAAATGACATAGAGCAGTCCCATATGTCCCAACACATAAATGACAGAGTCATCGTTTGAATAAAGATGAGCGCCATCCATGAGATGTACGTTTCTGTGATCGCTCTTTTGCTCATCCTTGGTGCTGCCGGTTTATTTTAGCCACAGATTCATCCAAGCAGTGTCCGGGTCGTTTCAAAACAGGTTTTCTACTTGACTAGGCCTTTGCAGCGTGTCTGCCCCCAACACACAAAACACTGCTCCTCAGCCCTGAAGCACAACTGTGACATGACAGTGCTTTGGCTGCTCACTCGTTCAGACAGGAGAAATAGATGAGGGAGATATGTCCATCTTTCCCCACTTCCTCTGGACTAAAGCCTCCTGGAGTCTCTGGATGCTTTGGCCGGCACTTTACCTGACATTACCTTTTACAAACGCTCTTGCAAAACTTATATAGGCAGAAGGTGACTTGAGTTTATTTCTAACATGTTGCAAAGCTAACCACACAATACTAAATGTAAAATGTGGACTGTGCCTGCAATGCTGCCTTTGTAGGCAGCTAAATAACCTACTGTTTAAAAAAAAGTTTGGGGTTGGTAAGATTTAAAAAATGTTGTTAAAGAAGTCTCTTGCTGACCAAGGCTGCATTTATTTGATCAAAAATACAGTAAATCAGTAATATTGTGAAATTTTATTGATTATAATATTATCTATTGGAATCTATTCCTGTGATGGCAAAGCTGAATTTTTAGCAGCCATTACTCCAGGCTTTAGTGAAATCATTCTTATATGCTAATATGCAAGAAACATTTCTTATCAATGTTGAAAACCGCTTTGCTGCTTAATTTTTTTTTTTTTTTTTGGAAACCATGAAGATTCTTTGTTAGAAAAGATTTATATTTAGAATTTTCTTTAAGGTCTTTACTGTCAATTTTGATCAATGTAATGCATTCTTGCTGAATAAAAGCAATGCTAATTTTATTCAAAAGTATTATATTAACTGCATCTTTTTCCCTCTGTTTCTCAACTTTAGAGTTTTGTATAGACAGCCAGCTTTTTTGTTTTGTTGAGAGGGTGATATAACACTTTGTTTGTGAATGGTTTAAAATGTTTATTTAATCTTTCAAATCCTAAGGTGCAGGAAAAGTCTTAACATCTTTTTGTTATAGTCTTTCAGGATTTCCTTATCGGGTAGTTAATATATCTCTCCCTCAATCTTTCTTATTCTTTTATCCTCTGCTAAATGGAGGAATGTATTTGGTGCAATAGGCTGGAATTTCGATTTGAGTTAGACAGGTGCAGCTCCTCCTGCCTCTGTTAGAATGAATAACTAGTCTCACATCCAATTTATGCTCTGACTGTGTTGTTAAATGAACTCTGAAGGCCCGCAATAATACAGAGATTAAATTGGTGTCCCAAATTCAATTTTTAGCCATATGATTTCTCCTGGAATAACTGCCTTGTTTGAAGTGACTTAGTTTGAGAGAAGGACATATTGGCCAGACAGCATATGCGCTCTCAGTCACAGCTGAGACTGTGCTATTGTAGGAGTTTTGCTCTTTCAACCTCTCTCTCTCTCTCTCTCTTTAGCTAGCTAGCATAGCAGTGGGTCCTTTTCTCTCCCTTTTACATTTTTCCAACCGCAAAATGAAACTCGCAGCTGGAACTTTGTTCTTATTAATTTATTGAAGCAAAATGATGTAGCAGCACAATATATTTGAAGACAATGTCATTAATTTTTTTTCCTGCTTAAGGCAGTAATCACAATTAATTCTAGTCAAATTTCTACATATTTCTTTCTTCAGATGAGAGGGGTGATTGCATGCGTATTTCGACAGCCTCCCACAAATCAGCTGTGTAAAACAGACTTTAATATTCTATAAATTAAATGAGAGGTCTCGAGAGGTTAATCTGAAGCCCAGGTTCTGTAGTTAGAGCCTCTGGCAGTGGCTCTGGTTACGAATGTTTATGAAATTTTAATAAAATGGCATAATGTAGCTCAGTTTCTGGGCATTATGTTGACCAACCTAAGTGCTTAATGCATTAAGGTTTCTGACTTTATAGCGCTTGAATTAAAGAGTTGCTCAAATTGCCATAAATTCTTTTTTTTCTGTCATCTCATGTTTGTTTAATATCCTTGCTTTGATTCTTGCTTCAGTCTTATATTTAAATAATTTTTTGGAGCAGCACCTCAAAATAATCAAACCTCTATTAATAACTGATGTAATCTTATGATGAATGCTAACGTTTTAATCACTGTTATGCGACCTGAATTTTACAGGTTTCGTTATCTTTGAGCAGAAATGGTGCATGTAGGCAGAAAACCAAAGACACGGTCTGAATTATAATGGACTGCCGCATCCGTTTTTTTTGGCTCAGGTTTTCAAAAGCGGTTTTCAGGCTGTTCAAAAATAGATTGTAATTCATTGCCGATTAGCACAGAGATTGATCAGGCCTTTGCTAGCCAGGAAAAGATGTGTAATTGTTACGCAGGACCTTAAACTGTGTGCCCCGGTTTGTGCTGTAACCCCAAACTCAGGCAGTCAATCTGGTTTCGACTTAAAAGTCTAGTCCAGACTAATTAGCCAGATGATTAACAATGCAGAGCACTGCTAAACAAACAAGCCACTTCACTTTACCGTGCACAAGCTCATGGTTTTGAGTGCTGCGGTTCAAGCACGTATATAATTATTCCACCCTCTCGTGACTACTTCACATGATGTGTCTGTTCTGGCCTTATGGAGGGGAGATGGAACAGGAGACCCACACACACACCCCTCTCTCTGTCTGTTCTCTTCCTCATGTTTTTTTTCCTCTTTGCCATGGGCATTCCGCAAGAGTGACACCTGGTCTTGTTTCATGACAACTCCCTTCCGTTTTTTTTTTTTTTTGTTTGTTTTTTTAGAAGTCTCAACTCGAACTGAGCCCTGTTTCTGTTGATCCTCTTATTGTTCTTTCACCTAACAGTGTGCTTTTTGAAATTATTTTTGTCTTACAACCCCAGAATAATTTTCCTTTTTCATAAATAGCAATAACATTTGAACAGTAAGAGCAGATCATTA